CAAGAATATTAAAGGGAAAGGGAAAATGTGATTATTTTCTTAATCTGTTATCTGCTTTTGAAGATACATGTTGTATTACATGTGATAATATAGGATTTGTTTTGGAAATTTTTATATGTAGATTTTGTACATATAGAAATCCTTATACTACTGGGACCTTATGATGTAATGTAACACCGGTAATTTTCCCCATTCCTCTCTCTGTTAGCCTCAAGAGTTCTCGCCTCGTCTGTTAATTTCACGTTTTATTTTTATAACCTTGAGCAAGTTTTCTTTTTGGTCTTTCAAAAAGGGTATATATATTTATTTATATATATATATGTACTTTTACTTTTATTTTGACTGATTGGTATTGATGATTTGTGTAAGAGTAGGGGAAGGGGGGGTCTAACCACTACCTTCTCCTAGGAAATGATGCCTCCTTCTACACTAGAGTCTTTACCCTTTGTTCTCTTGGTTAAGAGGAATTTGAAAGAGAAGGGAGAGGGAGCTCCTTTCTGATTTTGGTCCTGTGAAAGCATCAACAGTGCCGGTTTAGGCCGCATCCACCTTTGAAACCCCAGCCTTCAATCAACAGATCACCAACAGCATACGAGCCTGCGCCGTGCTAACCTCGTCGCCAAACCAGCAGCAGCTGCGTCGTCTCTTTGCTGCTGTGCTTTGCAAACAGCAGACCGCCACCATCTGCAGCAGCTGCGACGTTTTCTTTGCTGCTGTGCTTCGCAAACAGCAGATCGCCACCATCTGCAGCAGCAGGCTGCTGCACGTTTCTAAGCAACCATCCAGCAGCAGCAAGGACACGTTCGTGTTAGCCTACCTTCCAAATAGCAAACAGCAAGTCTGCTGTGCTGTTTTGCCGTCCTCTGCCACTCTAAACCTGCTGCGTCTTTACCTCGGTTAACAGCAACAGCAGCGCCTGCTGCCTTCGTTCTTCGTCCCGACAGCATCAAACAGCAACTGTGCTGTCTGTTTCTTTCCTCTGACAGCAAACAACAACAGCAGACCTGCTGCCCGCGCTTCCCTCGAACAGCACCAAACAGCGGCAGCAGCAACATCGAGACAGCAGCAGCATCGGGCCAGCAACAAACAGCCTCGGCTGTGTGCCTTTCCCCGGCGAACAGCAGCAGCAAACAGCTCCTTGTGCTGTTTCTTTTGCAGCAAACAGCCAAGCCAAACATCCCCTCTGTGCCGCGTTTTCTGCAGCAAACGGCCGAACCAAACACAGCAGCCTTGTGCTACGTTTTCTGTATTTCTTCACGACCAGACAGCAGCTGTGCCGCGTCTTGAACCGAACCTTTCAGCGCTGCCTATTAATTTTAAGAGTTGGGATCTTTATTCCAAAACCCTTCCGGGTGAGTTCAACTTATTTTTATGAAACTTTATACTATAGAAATGGATCACGTTACTCGTCTTATGCTTTTAACTTGTTACATTTACATAATTAGTTGAAAAGAAGGATTTGGGGTTAAAAGGATGAACGAGGTAGACCACGTTTTTGATGATGGTTTAAGTTGAGTAAAAGGTTTCATCTCTTGGTAAAATGACCGTTGTCATAGTATTGATGGCCATAAAGTACTAAAATCCTAGTACCCTTAGCTTGGAGTTTCTTGTTGACAAGAGGGAATATTTCACTAACCTAGGACACTCGCAAAACCTTCTTGTCAAGAGAGTACTAAATACTTATAGCACCACATTTAAGTAGATTACTTGAATGTAATGGGTCTAATAGCATGATCGGCCATTTTGATGTTTTGTGTGAAGGTTGGTATAAGTTGGAATTTAGGCATTGTGTTTATTATGTAAATTCCAAATCACCTTCTCACTCCCACTCGGAAATAGGCATTGTGATTATTATGTAATTTCCGAGGTAAAGAGCTTATGATCACGAACGACTACATGACTGGTTTAGGTTGATGTCGGATGGTTTTATACCGGGAGTGATGCTCTATAACGTTAATCTATGACTTACTTTGTGTCTGTCATAATTAACGACAAATCGGGTCTCCCCCGTCATCTTCGGATGGTTTGTTGTTCCACCGCGAGTTGTTCAGGTCTAACTGTCCCTTTCCGATAAGCTAAAATTTCGATATCTACTTGCATGCATAATTATATATATACGTTCCGTTATGTTTACGTAAAAATGCTTTTGTTGGACTCACTAGGCGTAAGCCTAACACTTCTTCTTGATGTGGCTTGTTTATCAGGTTCCTTTAGCAACGGGACTAAAAAGTGTTGAGAGGGGCGTCGGTTCGTTAAGGGCTCTTTTGTAGTTTTAGCCTTTGTTATTGTTGAGCGTTGTGTTCTTTTGATGTCACGGTATTTTTGGAGTTTGATAGAAACACTCGTCTTTAATCTAGACATAGAATTAATCTAGATTAGTAGGTTGTTATTTATCTTCTCAGTATTTGTTTTGTAAACGCTACACCTTTACCCCATTGTTGGGTGAATTCTATATCAAGTCCTAATATCCGTTAAATTTTTTTTTTATATTTATTGAAGTTTTTATTTAGGGTGTTACATGTAAATTATATTTCTATGTAACGAAATATGTGATTCATGCAAATGTGGAGTTTTGGGGTGTTACACCAAAAACGTCATATAAACTTATTACATCGCCTTTAGATAGAATGCTTTATGTTTTGGTCCTATAAATTAAGTCATATAAAACAGTCTATTGGGACACTCAAAAAGAAGAGTTGCTAATATAAGATGTACATGTTTGTTATAGTCGTAAATCAATGCATTGGTAATAAGTAATCTTATAATATTTTGGAATTATAAATTTTACCATGCATTAGGTTTGGTTTATTTGTCAACTTTATGTCATTTTTTATATCCATTTATTTTAAAAGATATAATTTAATAGTAACTTAAGTAGCAGATAATTAAACTATGATTGTTACTAATAATTTTCATAGTACAACATATTTCATAACAATATATATTAACTAAATAAGTTTGAAAGCAATCTTTATAAACCAAATTTGGAAATAGTAATTATTTCAAACTCGTAATTTTGTCATTATAAATATTACATATAAACTTACAATATAGTCCATCTAAAAATTGATTTAAAAAAATAAACAAGTAAAACAAAATATACATTTTTTAATATTCACGAGCGGATCACACACTAGTATTGAGAATGCAAAAAGAGTACGCTAATGTTGATGTGTCTTTTTGCACGCTAATGTTGATGTGTCTATGAGCCATGCAACTATATAAATATATGTAATTATTTCATTTTTAAGTAATTAAATTTCACTTTACTTTTAGGTTATGTGTAGTAAACTAGTTGATAAGTTTGTTGTTAACAGTTACACTAATAGATTACTGATAAGGTAATTGTTAGCTGAAAAACTGGACAATTAATTAATCAGGTTTGATAAAAATCAGATGATAAACTAATTGAAAAATGTAAACTGACCAAAAAAGGCAGGTTAAAAAATTAATAAATTCTAACATTCTATAATATAATTAACAAAAATCACTAATATAATATGTTAGTTAATACAAACCAGATGGTAAACAAACTTATTTGATTATATATATATATATATATATATATATATATATAATAGGGGAGATGTTTTGAAAACTCAATCATTAGTACGAACAATACAAGCTAATTAATTAAGATATTTATAGAAATCATAAAAGTTTATTCGTTATGATTTGGATATTTATACAAAGATTATCACCGTTCATGTATTATAATCAACGTTTTAAATTTGGAAACAATCGAGATATATATTGAAATGAATATTCATTAGATTAGATGAACGATTGATATTAGTTTGTATGGTTTCTATTCAGGGGCGAATGACCTGTTGGGCCTTTAGGGGCCCTGGCCCCTGTGCTTTTTTTTTTACTACATAGGAGCATATTATAGGTCCATAAGCTTTTTAGTACAAACAAAATTTGGCGGCCCTTCCACTCTTGATCTAGTCTTCCAGCGACATCAACGACGACAGGCAGCTCTCGACGACAGGCAGTCCTCCAGCAGCAGACAAGGCACCGGCAGTTTGAGTTTGATCCAGTCCTCCCACCTCCAGCAGTGCTCTCGAGTCTCGACGGTAAGTCCTTGTCCTTCTATTCTCTGTTCTCTTTGACTCTGTCTGTGCCTGTTGCATCTTTAATTCTTTATTCTTTAACTTTAACTAATAACATGTCACTTGTGCAACTTCATCTTTATTCTTTAACCTGTATGTATATAAATTCAATTGTCTAAATTTGTTTGCTTAAAGCTTAATGATTTATGATTAGGTGATTTAGGTCTCAGTTTGTTTGATATTTTGATTGATTGGGTTTAAAATTTTATTATTTGAGTTGAGCCTTGAGTTGATTTGATGAGTTTTAAATTGTTTATGTGTTCTTCAAGTTCAACTGTTCAAGGGTTTATGTGTTTAAATGAGTGGACTGCATTTTATTACTTGAGCCTTTATACATTAATACATACATGAATCTATGTTCTTCAAGGGTATTTGTGGACAGTGGCTTGCGGTATGAATGTATGATCTCTGTGAATTGTGATGTCTCCATTCAACATATATAGTGATTAAGCATGTTTCCATCATTCCATGTCAACTTCTGCTACTGTAGGACAGTAGGAGAATCCTTATTCACTAGCAAAGTAGCAATTGATCCATTTTATTGGAAGCAACACATATAGGGATTAAGCAACATATATGTCCCTTATTTACATTTGTTTTAAAACTAAAATTGCTAAATATGTTCCACATGTAGATGAAGATGAAAACTCAATCTACCATTCATAGGTTTTTAAGAAAGCATGCTAGTTCTTCTTCTCAAGATCCTGAAGAAACAACAAATGTTATAATACCCTTGAATCTAGTATTCCGCCTATTGAAAACCCTTGCAAAAAAGCTCAAATGGAAAGTAATGATATTGATCTGGGTACACTAGAACGAGACCCTGCTTTGCGTCATCAAGTTTATGATTATCCTACTAATCAACAAGACACAATTTGACAAGCTTACATGAATCTTGGTCCTCTTCAACCTACACTTTCTATGTTTCCAAAATCTGGACCAGAAACTCATAAACGTAGCTTTCAAGCTTCTTGGTATAAGTTACATCCCTGGATTGAATATTCAAAGACCTTGGATGCAACATTTTGTTTCCCTTGTTTTTTATTTAACAAGCCATCTGGTCTCGGATATTACGGTCAACAAGCATTTACCATAGATGGGTTTCGAAATTGGAAAAAAGTGGGTGGGAAAAAATGTGTCTTCTTGATGCATATGGGAACCGATTGTACATCTTTCCACAATGTTGCACAAAAGGGATGGGATCATTTATTTAATGAGGCGCAAGATATACGAAATGTATTTGAGAAGTTCACAACTGAAGACCGTGAGAAAAACAGATTGAGATTGACGGCTTCTTTTTGTTCCGTCCGTTGGTGTGCCTTTCAAGCAGTTGCATTTAGAGGCCACAACGAAAAGTCAGATTCCATTAACAGGGGGAATTTTCTTGAAATGTTGGAGGCACTTAGTGAGTTTAACACCGAGCTTAAAGAGTTATTTTGCCGTGCTCCCAGATATGCATCATATACATCCCCGTTGATTCAAAAGGAAATTTTGAATCTTATATCAAATAAGGTGAGACAAATGATTTATGAGGAGATTGGTGGTCGAAGGTTTTGTTTTCTTGTTGACGAAGAAGGGGATGAGTCTCATAAAGAGCAAATGTCTCTTGTTTTGAGATTTGTTAATAAAGAGGGATTTATTATAGAGCGTTTTTTTGGACTTATTCATGTACGTGACACTACAGCACAAACGCTCAAGGACGGAATCTATTCTCTGTTGTCACATTACAACCTTGATGTCAAGTYTATTCGTGGACAAGGGTATGATGGTGCAAGCAATATGTGAGGTTAGTTCAAAGGTTTGCAAGCCTTGATTTTAGAAGATTGTAAATGCGCATATTATGTTCACTGTCTTGCTCATCGGTTGCAATTGGCATTAATGGCCGCCTCTCAAGGAGTTGTAGCACTGTGTAAGTTTTTTTACAACGTTGTCTTTTGTTGTCAATGTTGTTAGTGCTTCCTCCAAACGCACTGACTAACTACGAGATGCACAAGTCGAGAAAATTGCATACTTGATTTCTGTTGATGAATTGGAGACCGATAGAGGTCTCAATCAAATTGGTACATTAAAACGAGCCAGAGATACTAGATGGAGTTCTCATCTCAGATCGGTTTCTAGCCTAATCAAGATGTCCAGTCCAACTTGTGAGGTTTTGCTCAAAAATTGAGGAAGGAACTGAGTCAATAAAAGGAGATGCAGATTCGGCATATGAGGCTATGACGACATTTTGAGTTCATATTTGTCTTGCATCTCGAAAGAGAAATAATGGAGATCACTGATTTACTTTGTCAAGCTTTACAAATGAAAGATCAAGATATTTTAAACTCATTGAGGTTAGTTGCATCTACCAAATTGTTGATGCAACTAATGAAAGATGAAAGCATGGATGCTTTGCTTTGCCTTGTTAAGTCATTTTGTCAGGTACATAACATAATGATCATACACTCGAACATCGTTATCAAGTAAATCTTCCTAACTTGTCTTCTTCTCGACTTGTTTTCTTGTCAGGTACGTAACATAGATATTCCTGACTTGTCTTCTTCCTACTTTAGTAGAGGGAATCGAGCTCGTAATGAGCATAGTGATCATAACTTGAGCATCATTACCGAGTGGATATCTTTTATGAAGCAATTAATTGTCAATTAATGGAATTAGATCATTGTTTCAGTGATGGGTCCATGGAGATGCTTTGTCTTGCTTCAACTCTAGATCCTAAAAATGCGTATGAGACTTTTAGAAGTCTTGATGTATGACAACTAGTAGAGAAGTTTTATCCTGAAGATTTCAGTGATCATGAGAAAACAATTCTGAAATTGCAACTTCAACATTAGGATATTGATGTCGTTCAACATATAGATTATAAGCAATTGACATCTATTGTAGAATTGGGTCAATGGTTGGTAAGGACTAGAAGAGAAACCACTTTTGATCTTATTTATCGATTATAAGTCTATTACTTACTCTCCCAGTTTTTACTGCGACAACCGAGAGATCATTTTCAGCAATGAATATTATGAAAACAAGAATAGGGATAAAATGGATGACGAGTTTATAAATGACTCGTTACTTTTGTTTATCGAAAGGGAAGTAGCTGAAAAGATTAGTTTGGAAGAAATTGTGGAAGACTTCAAGGTCACGAAAGATCGACGGGTTCTACTTTAATTAGCGATGTTTGACATGTTTATATTTAATTTCTAGTTTTAGATTTAGAGTTTTATTACGTTAGAACTTTGGACAATGTATTTTGTACCTTTGAAATATATAATATATTAGGTCCGGCCCCTATGGTTGGAAAGTTTGTGTTCCGCCCCTGTTTCTATTAATGGTTGGATTTGCAAATGAAATCATTTCATTTAATAACCATTACATATTTACATATAATATGAATAAAACAAAGTTTATCAACATTACATATCTTAATTAATCAATTATTCTTTAAAATCAATAAAATTTAATATTTCATTTAAATTATTTATCAAAGTTTTATTTATGAAACAAATATATATAATTTTAGTATTTTTAAAATCTTAAAAAATATTTTTAAAATCTTAAAAAATATTTTTAAAATAGTTATATTTATTTTTGACGACTATATTTATAAAATATTAATAATAATATCATTAAATAATTTACATTTAAATTAACTAATAGTATTAAATAATAATTAATTTGAATCAAGGATATATTTGGAATTTTTTTTATAAAAAAAACTCTTGAAACTTATTGAAAACACTAAGTTTCAATAAAATAGTTGTTGCACATCTAAATAGGTTCTTTTTACAATAAGTTTAAAAAAGTTAACTTATGTTTTGCTAAATATGACCTAAAAAGTATAGAAGTTTAATAAAATACAAAAAACAAATAAAGGAGCTGCTATTCAAACCCTTTTAAGACATCTCTAATTCAACATTAAAAAACACAAAAATAAAGGTGTTTCATTTGCAACCCGCCACTAAAACACTAAAACAAATAGAGGTCAATAAAGTTTGCCTCTATATTTGGAGGTTGATAAAGTTGGCCTCTATAAATCAAATATCAATATAATATTAACTTTTTATAATTTTATATGTAACATTAAGTTTTATAAATACATATATTATTTTACTATTATAACATTAAAGATATTTTTAGTGTTTTTTTAATGTATGGTTTGAGTTGGTTTTTTTAGTGTTCTATGGACCCATCATTTTCAGTGTTTTATTTTTAGTGGTTGAATTGAAAATGGTAATACACATACCACTCATACTCCCTCATCATTCACATTTCATATCCCCTCATTAATGACACATCACTCATATAGAAGGTGTAACATCCAAAAATTTCAAATACTTAAATATATCAAAAGTAGTATCCCAAGATCAAACACTTACATTGCAGCGGAAATAAAATTTCTAATCTTACAATTTATATCACCATCTAAACTTACAATCTTGATGAACATACTTTGTTCGATATAACAATGTCTTGATCTACACATGTCCTTCTTTGATGTTAATCCTTATTTCTCTCTTTATCCAACTTTTCTTTCCAGTCTAATAKYCGCCTGGGTRAAAAAGTTTTAAAAGAATTTTGGGTGAGCCTTAGGCCCAGTGAATCCACGGTTTTCATGCATGAACAACAACTTTTATAATAAACAATTTTCACGAAGCTTCATAAATTAGCATGCCTTGATGAGAATAATATTTTTTACAAAGTAAAGATATTATAATGCGTGTATAAATCACAAAGCAACGGCGTCATGGGACATGTCTACCTCACACAACATTACCTGGCGAACTCACATAGCATGTCCGCACTTACGGCTTAGACAAGCTCACAAAGCATGCTCGTCTTTACAAAGTTATACCGTAGTACATCCCCATTAACACACAAGTACTCAAATTACGTATTATAAAAATATCGAACTTTTCACGCATATATAACATATCAAAAATCTCGAGAAACTTCAAACAACTTATGGTTAATAAGGCATGCAACCATTTTAAAAATAAATCACGTGTAACTCACAATACATGGCGTAGCCCAAACCGATCTTTGAAGTAGCTAGCGTCTCCCCGATTGGTGCCAAACTAACTACGATGTAGAGCACCGTCAACTCTAATTACAGCGTCCACCATCGCATTTTCTCACAATAGTTCTCCTTCTTAACCCAAACTACATATAAAGCTACAAACTCCCAAAAACGCATCAAACTTGTTGCGCTTCACCAAATCATCCTCATCTTTCACCTCTCTTATACTAGTTTTCTTTCCCGAGAATTTGTCATCTCTATGCTTGAAGACCTCCCCATATATATATATACTAAGTCATCGGCGGTTTCACGGAATATGAAACGATAAGCCATAATAAATGGTTGTAGGTTTCATGACCAGTGAGTTTTTCCCGTCATTAAATTGCATTCAATTTATTTATTTATTTATTATTATTATTATTATTATTTTGGGTTATTACAAACTTTCCCCCTTAACAAAATTTCGTTCTCGAAATTTGCCCTATACGAATAAATGAGGGCATCTCAATCTCGTCCCCTTTTCAAG